AACTTGTCCGCGGACAAAGTCCTTCGTGTGAATACACCTTTACTTGCGAAACTGAGGGACGAGCTATCCATTTACTCTTCGGAAGGGTTGGAGTGTACTACAAAGGACGAGTGGGGCGTCCAGAGTGCCATTTTGGTACCTCTGCATGTGAAAAAAAAAACGGCTAATCCAAGCCACTTCGCTCGTAGCGCCCGGAAGGGCGCTATGAGCGACGTGGTTCGGATTAGCTACTTTTTATGAAAAACGCGTTTCGTTCCAAAGCCAAGCTCGACCGGCACGCTGGTCAAGGTCATAGAAATGATAGAACGCCGTATAATATTTTTTATACAACGTAGACGTCAGGTAACATACATAAAGTCACCGCGACCCGACTTGTCGTCACAACGTTATGCGACATCAGGACGACGCCTTGACGTCAATGTCGTCATCGACGTTGACAACGTGCGTTACACGACATCAAGACAGCGTTCTGACGTCATCATGCGTTGACAACGACAACGATGTCAATGTTTACGTTGATGACGACTACGACAGCGTCAAGGGACGTCAAGATGACGGCGTCCTTGTCAATGCAACGTCATTAGGACGCTTGGTGTCAGTTCGTTGACGTCGTTGTCGGCATGACGCAACTCGACGTCACGAAGACGTCCCGACAGCTTCACGACGTCGGCGTCATCGTTGACGACGTCACACAACGTCAAGACTTCGTCGTGACTGCGCGTCGACGTTGATGCTGGCGAAGGCGACGACGTTACACGCCGTCAAGGCTTCGTCGTGACGTTGGCGTTCACGATGACGTCTGGACGACGTTAACGTGACGTCATAGCGATGTTTGACGTTGCGTGGGGCGTCGACGTCAACGTCGGCATCGACGACCACGTCCACGTCGTCCTCAATGTGGCGCTCGACGTCACGACCGCGTCACAACGGCGACTTAATGTCGCGTAAAGGCTGGTACTCAACGCGACGTCAAGACCGCGTTAAGACGGCGACTCGATGTCGCCAAATGACGTCGTCCTCGACGTGACGCGATGTCACGACGGCCTTACGACAGCATCTTGGCGTCGCGTAACGTCGTCGACGATGACGTCGTGGCGTCGTCGTGTCGTGGTGCTTTGACGCTACCTCTGACGTCAAAATTATAAAAAAATACAATATAGCCCCTAAGGGGCTATATTGGCCATATGACCTTGACCTGTGTCGTTGCTTGATCGCAGCGAGGTGGCGCTGCGATCAAAGTGGCTTGATTCCACCTGATCGCTTTCCACATTATGAGGTGCAACTGAAAGCATGACCGGAGCCTGTAGCTCGTTCACCTCGTACCCTCTAGTACACTTTAACAGGGTGAAGAGTATCGTAACTTCCTTTTTTACGTTTATATATTAAAAAAAAGAAACTGCAGGCCTTTTGAATAGGTTGCTGCAGGTGAGGGGTACAAAAGAGCAGTAATATAGTTGAAAGCAATACATAGAACAACACATTTCATGCATTACATCACATTCAAATAAACAAGCGCGATAAAAAAGCACAAAAATAACATTGTGTAACATTTCAACTACAGTGCTGCAGATTGCAATCATTTGTAACATTGTAGTTACAAATGACGATTGTAATCAGAAAAAAACCATCAGTCCGGTAATTGCAATGTATTATAGTCTCAATCACAAAGGGTTTTTACAAAACTAAACCAAACACCTGAAACCAAATGGCACTTGAAGCGTGTGATCGTCCCTAGTTTTATTAAAATCGCCGACAATATACAAACAAAAAGCATATTACGAGAAGGGCTTACTTGTGGGGAAACAAATCGATGAAAGACTACCAGCTTTTTTTTACGAAATATTACACTAACCCTGATCAAATTTGGTAGACCTTTGCAGCGCGAAGTTCTGAGCATCTGACAGGCTACCACAAGTTCTTTGGTGTGAACATGAACGAATATTTTGACATAGGGTTGTTCTGTTCTCTCTAGTAGAGTTTCACTATCGCAATAATCAAGCCGGGGTAAGGTCTTCCGGGAAAAATATTATAATCTCCAAAAAGGTTTCACCGATTTGTCACTGGGTTGCTTTCCGTCAGATAGATTATAAATTTTAGAAGCATTGCAATAAAAAGGTCTAAATGTGATGTTTTGAAAATCGTGTGAAAAATATATGAACGGGCACTACAATCATACAAGAACACGTAAGATGTTATAAAAACGTACACATTACTTATACTATTTCTTAAGCTATGGTGTGTTTATTGCACAAACAATATAACTTTTTTTTTTTTTCAGTAGGGTCGGAACTGGCTAAAATCCATGAATCCTGGGAAAGTAGCGCCCCTGCCTTCCCTGCAGGCTTGCCGGACCCAGAGAGATACTCATACAGACGACCGAAACCTCGCAAGGTGATTGGCGGATAGGGCTCCGTTGCCATAGCAATCGCTATTTCGGTCCATTTAAATCTTCGAAGCTTCGAGGGGGTCTTTTAAACCAGTCGCACGAAGATCGCAATGGAGTGTCGTCTTCCTGAAAGCGTTCCTCGACAACGTAACCATCTTTTGCACTGTGGATTAAAAAAAACTGACCAGTGTTGCTTATCTCCACCGATCTGTTACAATCATATTGTTCTCGCGTTAATACTGCAGATTGGGCAAGTTGGTAAGGCATCATCACGAACCAGCGCACAAGTAGACAGTTATTCAAAATCCAAACACACAAAAAATACACTCACACAGCGCTGATTCGTAATGTTACTTGTGCGCTGGTTCGTAATGTTCTCGCGTATATCCAGAGAGGGAAATTCTTTTTCAGGGCAGCCAAACACCGACACCGCAAAAGGTGGCGGTGTGTGTGAAATGTCGTCATAAAGTACACTCTAAAAAAAGCCCGTGCGTTTACTTTCCCGCACTACACTCGAAGAGCCAATCACCCGGAGAGCCATTTTAAACCAAAAAGCGCAGTCTGAGTTGTGTCATTAAGCAATGCTAAACGTCACGTTTGCATTGCTTAATGTCACAACTCAGACTGCGCTTTTTGGTTCAGACATATGTTTCGGCATTGTCATTCGCAGAGCTGCCTCCGTAAGCCGCGGTGATTGGCTCTCCGAGTGTTGTGTGGGAAAGTAGACGCACGGGCTATTTTTATAGTGTAATCTGTTACCGGGAATTGGGATCGGCTTACAAAGAATGGAGAGATCAAGGAGAAACTGCTCATTCCTTGAACCAAAATGGAGACCACACGAGATGCTTGGCACAACTTTCCTAGGATTCAGTGGCTTTAGCAAGAGCAAACTGTAGATATTAATTTTTAAAAGAACTGGCTATAGGTGGCGCAAGTCTCCGCCCCATTAAAAACGCTTCAGCGTTATGCATCCAGGTTCTTTAGACTCGTACTCGCCATAAGTGTGAGGGAAGTCGGATGTATCCCATAAAGCATCGAGGGTCTGCCGAGGTGCGATGAAGGCACACACCTCTTATAGGCAACAAGGCAGTAGAGCTGGCCTTTCTACCTCGCCTACTCTGTCTCGTTTTCACCCCAAGAACCGCAGTAAAAAATAAAAAAAAGTCCGGCTTCACGCGGAGTATTACTGATGTCCCACTTTATGTAGAGAAATAATATATATCTATGGTGCATTTTAGATTAGCTCTATCATCTATGTTATCTTATCACGACGTACGCGTTTCGAACACCAAAACCATCGCTTCTTTTTCCGACAATAAAATTTTGAAAGAACTACTTGGCGGGGCGTACCAACAATTCGCGAAGAAAAAATTCGCCTGGATCTTTGCCAGGCGGATTTTTTCAGTCGCCCACCAGTCACCTAGCTGTGTTCGGTTGTTTTTGTCCTTTGTCTCCCCTTGTTCCTCTTATCCAGGGATTAATAATAATAATAATAATAATAATAATAATAATAATAATAATAATAATAATAATTTAACTTTCATTTTCCATTACACGTACTGACGGGGCTGAGAACAAAAGCCGCGATAGACGGTTTGAGGAGCTCTCGCCCCAGTGGCATTCTGCACAATTATAGGGAAAAAAAACATAAATGTTTTTAGTTATACAGCGAGCATATCCAATTGTTCATTTTCAGTCGAATAAAAAAACACCATGTATAAAGTTATAAATAGCAAGACGCAAAGAGTATTCCGAAAATGTGTTTGGTTTTTGCAGCTCGAGAAACCTCCCGAACACTATTGTAGCCCTCATGCCCCCGGTGTCCCACGTTGGCTTCCGTTACTTGACGTGGCAAAACAACGGTACGGCTTTTCTTTCTGAGAAGTGTTGGGAAGGCCACCTCTCCATACCAGCCGAAAAACGTCCCCCTCTATGAGCAAAGGCCCTCCAACTTGGAAGGAGACAGGCGTCCCCCGGGGCCTGGTTCCCTCTCCCCCGCTGGGCAGCTTGCGTGGGCGGGGCCTGGGGGCAAGGAGGAGAAAGCCACTTTCAAACCGGCACCGGCGAAACATCCGGCGACCACGACAACCTCCCCGCTCCTACCCATGTGCGAAATATATTCTTCCAGCGAGTGTTGCTCACCTCGCAGCTCTCTGTGAAGGTGCGAGAACCGACGCTACTCAAGTGACAAGTGAGTCGGGTGAGAGACACGTGGCATTAATCTCGGTTGGAGCAGTGATCGGTCATCGCCGGGTGACGGGTGACACCGAGGAAACGGGTGGTACGCTCGTGCCAAGTCAAGTTACCACTTCGTCACGTTGTGGAGTTTCCGGCGCTTGTGCGGTCGTTTCTATGGAGTGATCGGTCATTGTCAGGTGACTGGGACATTGAAGACTGTAGTGACGACTACCTGGCTCACCAGTGGGACATTCCGAAGCGTCCGGTGGTTGTGTTGAACGGCGATAAACAGTGATCTGGCATCACCGAGTGACTGGAACGCCGTACTCGAGTGAAGCAACCTGTCAAAAGTGGTACCGTAAGAACCTTTTTAGTGCTAGTGCAGACCGGCGGTGAGGGCTGATCACTCGTCTGTGAGTGTCAGGAACGCCGTGAAACCGCGCTGCGGCCGGAGAGGCGACCAGTGGCATTCCGTGCCGTCGGACGAGGCGGTGCGAGACCATGTCCGACTCCGGGTCTCACGGAGACGAGAGCGACAGTTCGAGCACCGGGCCGGACGCGTCTCCGTCCAACATCACGGACGCGGTCAGCAGGGTGCTCAAGGTGAGACCATACTTTCATTCCCTAACTGCACACCTCGCACTCGCCAACGCATAACATCATCGAAGCATGTGTACTACGACGTAATCGTACCACGAGGAGGTCGTTCGCGGGCCTTCTTCATTATATATGGGGGGGAAGAAGGGGGGGGGGGGGGGGTTGTCTTGACCCCGACGGCTGCCGGGACATCGAGAAAAACAAAAATAAGCGGTGCCATATGTATTCTGAAGGAGGTGCGTGTTCGGCAGAAGGACCACCACAATGGCGGCTGATTTGACGTCAGTGCAAGCCACGGGATAACTGTTTTGCGTGATACGGATGACTGAAACCGGTTTGCTCAGTTGCAGTGTGATCGACGTCCTTCGGATGATAATGCCGGGGGATACCCGTAAAATATCGTCTGCCGCGGGTTGTATGGGCGCCAGGATCGTAACGCTTTTGGAAGGAAGGCGTTAGAAGTAACGCCGTTACTGGTAACGCGTTAGATTTCTATATGAGTAACGAGAAAAGTGTTTTGTTGCTATTGTACGGTATCGTCAATCAAAGTACCTTACTCGTAACTCTTTGCCTTTGATTAATCTACAGTTATTTAGCTTAAATACAAATTATTCCCAACTTTTTAGAACGCGCAGAAAATGGAGGACACTATTTTCTTCTCCATAGCGTCATCTCGAAATCATTGAGTAATAAAGCAGTGTTGAGATTACCAGAATAGGAAAAATCATGTACAACTTTAATTAACAAAATAATGCAAGTTCTAAGAAAAAGCTTTGTAGAGTTTAATTTTTGTCGATGTTCGAATCCGCGGATTATCGCTGCCAGCTAATACTAACATCTAAAGTAACCTAAAAGGAACGTTTGTTAGAGTTTGATGGTAACGGCAAGGGTATTTCGTTACATTTAGTCGACGTAACGAATCTTGGTAACGCGGTATGTTTTTACAAACTAACGAGTAGCGATATTTCGTTACTTTCTTTTTGGTAATGCTTACACCACTGCGTGAAATTCGCGCTCCCTAATGTTGGTGGATAATCGGCCTCACGAAAAATATACTACATATATATGTGTGTGTGTATGTGTGTGCTTTCTTTCATCTTCCTAATACGAAATGTGCTGCAAGACTCTGATATTGCTTGTATATAAAAATAAGAGAATTACTTGCGTGACAAACACCTAAATCTTATATAGTGTTGTTGCACATATAAAGTCAAGATAACTGTTATTTTAATAGACGCAGCTCGCACCGTATAGGTCGCGAAAGTTGCGCATACACCATTTCATAAAAAAGGATTTTGACAACTTCCGTTTTAAAGTAACTCACGGCTTAAGAAGCGCGAGGTTTATGTTTCACGCTTATGTTCACACACATTGCTTCACGCTTATTGCTCACGCTTATATATGACGCTTATTGCTTCACGATTATTGCTTCGTGATTCGTTCTTTGACTTTCTTATCGGCTCAACAGCCTGATTGGCTGCGCAGCCTTAATGAGATGCATCAAATATAGTGTTCTAGGCGTCACCGAAAAATAGTAACGAATTACGTTACTCGTTACTTAGAAAATAAAGGACGCGTTACCGACCTACATTACCTCAAAATAAAGGGAATTCCGCGTTTCTGTTACACATAAAAAAATAACGCACGGCACTTTTTGCGTTGCTTTTCGATTATAAATTGACGGTAACAGAGTTTTTTTTTTTTTTTTGGCGACAGTGTTTTTTGACACTTAAACGAAGGCCGAGGGTGTTTTTTTTTGTTTTTTGTTTTTTTTTTTTTTTTTTTTCTAAAGTGGGATTTTTCTTGCGGGGGGAAGAAAGAGGCAAAATTTTAAAGGCAAGTGGAATGAGTGCAATAATTAATGATTTGGCGTCTATACTTGCTTTCAGCTTAGGTCCGGACGCAATCAACGCTACCAGTTAATGGGGCACATCGAGCAGCGTTAAAAGTGCAAGTCACTGGGCCTTTTTTTTTTTTTTGGTTATGATTGGTTCAGCGACGATAGAACACGTCCAGAAACATGACGAATACAATGATAATGCCCTTTTGTCTCTCGTCTCATTGGTACCATCGGCTCAAAGCGTCGGCTCGTCTGGACTAAAGTTAAAACGAACTATAAAAAACAAGAAAAATTATTTCCTTGGTTCTTTCAGGTCTTGGGAAGAAGGCGTAACGAATAACGTAACTACGTCACCCGTTACCCGAAATAATTAGTAACGTAAGTACGTCACTCGTTTTTGTTTTCAAAATGTAACGAGTGCATTACTGCGTTACCGAAAGAAGTAGGGCGGTACCGGCAAATACCGTTACTTGTAAACCGGCAACATGGTAAACATCCAGCACTACGCCCTTGCGATCTCGGATGGGTTGGCAAGACCTCCCAGAGATAATCGAGTAGCGCTAACCTCTTCAACTAGTGGCCAGAGGAAGCGATCGGGTGTTTCTTCGCCGGCTTATGTTGCCAATGTTTACCACGGTCACTAGCCTTTGTGGGCAACACTCGTCAGGGTAAAAAAAATAATGGTGTTTTTGTTTTAATAAATCAAATTGTTGTATTTAAAGAAAATGTATTTGATTTAAATCACATTGATTCGATTTAAATCGCAGTAGCTAGAAAATGGTAATTCTTTACCGGAAAATGTATTTTAAACGTGTCAGACTGATTGATTCATTTATTCGATCGCTAGGGAAAACGTGGAAGAAAGAGTGCAAATGAAATAGTTGAAGTAACAACTTCCTGTTAATGCGAACCCTGCCATACTAAAACAAAAACGGCTACCTTTTTTTTTTTTGTGTGTGTGTGGGGGGGTGAATGACAAAGTTTGTATTTGATTTTCGCGGTTTTTTTTTTTTGCAATATATGACTACTTTTTTTTCTTACTTTTTTTTTTCGAGTGATAATTTGCTCGCCTCTACGGCATTACATAACTGACAAACGAAGTAGATGGTAGAAGGAAGCTTGAACAAACTAAATTTGATCAGAAGAGCACTGTTTTTTTGTTTTTTTTTAAATAAAAACAAATGCATATAGGAAGCATATTATACACCATATATCTCAAACTCATTCGAGTGTCGGGGCCAAATAGCGCACCTTTGAAAGGAAGAGGGCCAAAAGGGAGGGGGGGGGGGGGGGCAATAATTGCTATTTCGGGACAAACAATATAAAAAAAGCAGTGGTGTTTCACGTTCCAAGGCAGCCGTGTATCCCAGCGACAAACCAGAGATTTTCTAGACGAGGAACCTTGCGCGATCTGATTTTTGTAAGCTCACCGTTTCGCCATTTTTAGATTTCATTCGCATTTTCGACAGCTTTGGTTCCACACTTTTATAAAAAGATTTTAAACACTACCACGCCACAGTACTGACTGTTTTCAATAGAATGAGAGCAAGCTCACTGTTCTTGCTCTGTCGCACAACTCACTAGGGTCTACCCCAGGCATATAAAAAAAAAATCTTCATACGGCAGATTTTGCTTTCCTAATAATTTTTAGCAGTGTTATAAGAATACTTTACTATTACAGATATCGTCTGAAAGCTAGAAGCCCAAGCTCTAATAGCTTTATCTTTGGCGGTTTCTCGTGCTGAGAAAGAGTTGGAGCAGCCGAGGCGTCTCCTTGGGAAAAGAGCTCGCGCTTATAGCTTAGTGTGGGAATTGTCATTCCCGCTAATTTATATGTGAACAAAATGAGAAGCCAAGATTTATACAAAGCAATACTCCATCCAACAAATAGGCAGAATAGTAAAAAACAAAATGCTTCAGCTTGTTATATGAGCACAGTTTCATTTTGAGCGGAAATGAATCGACGATATAAAACTATTATTTATGGCGGATGTGCAACTTGAGGCATGCAAATCGGGCTCGCAGCCGCTGAATGCTTGCGGGACGCGTGTTTAAGACCCCTGTTATACGCGAGCGGCAGATATAAATACCATTTTTTAAATTGTTGTTCGCGGGAAATGCTTGATCTAATTCATCGTAGCAAAACCGGTGTGATTTTATTCGCGAGTTTAAAATGATGCCTTAGATCACGATTTATATTATTTTGATTTTTGTTCTCCGCCCTGCTCAGAGAACGCGTGGTGCTGTGCTCCAGACAATGTGCGAATCGGGCGATTAACGTCGCAGGAATCAATTGGTCACGCGCGCGAACCCGTAGATTCGTCGACGGACCGGCTGGTGACCAAGCTCGAGCGACACCACCTGGAATAATCATGGCCTGAGAACAGCCTCCTCTACGTTTGCGTGACGTCATCACCGTTGGATGGAGCCTACTCGGAAACTTGACCCGAGTCGAAGCTGCCTGCGACGCGCTGATTGGTCCCGAAGCTCTGCCGAACTCTGACGTCACTCGTGTTCAATCTCTGTGTGCGCTCGATCCCACTCTGATGACGCCAAAATGCCGGTTCGTGGGATATTTAATTAATCTATAGACGTTTTTTTGTTTGTTTTTCTTATGTTCTAAGTCGCGCAGGTTCCGTATCTGGTATGTTGGACGAAAAAAATAATAAAATGTTTCAAGCTAGAATATGAGTGAGAATTTATAGGTGAGGCAAATAAAAAATGTGTGACAATCACGGTTTTCTTTTTTTTTTTCGCGAACACCTCCCTACTGAGGTGGCCTTAATTCTACTACATAGACGGGCGCCTCAGTACTGAATAGCTATCCCAAGCTAAATTACCATGTACAGATACGACAGGTATATGCCGTACAAGCGGCTATATACAATCCCAAATATTGAGATAAAAGGAATCAACTCTTAACAATGAAGATTCACTGATCTCTGCCATTGTTATTCTTGCTGTAAGAAGCTCCAATAAAACAAAATCAGTCAGAGATTTGTTTTACAAATTTTTCTAGCTGCAAGCATTTTTTCAAAACAATTTATGTATACTTAATTCGACTGGTCTGCGAAGATTCAAGCAATCGTGAGCAAAATTCTCAAGATATATTAGCCCTTAGGTGCACACATACGTTTACATGAGAAATATTCTCCCGAAGCGCCTCCACTAGATGATGTTCTCCTTCTCGACTAGGTTCGGTTTCAATTTAAAAAAAATATTTGGTGTGAAACAAAATAAACGATATTTACGTGGTTTCGCGGTGTAATGTTGTAGCTTTACTACCGAGGGTGTGCTGTAGTGGTGGCCCTGATTTCGTTTCGTTATTCAAAATGTACAATTCACCACCGTCCGACGGAGAGTGGTGCAGTCTACGTGTCATTGCGTCGTTTCATGGGGCAAAACCGACAACACTAGCTCCGCCAGTAACCAGCCTTGTCCGTGTTCCAAAATTTACTCGATCTTACTCCAGGGTAAGGGTTTTGTACCTTGGCGTTCCAAAACCTACCCGCGTCCAGCGTTTTTCAATCTGTGTTGTCACGTGACACGACCCGCCGAAGTAACTCGGATCCATTTATGTAAGATTTGGAACACAGCCCTTGTTTTACCTTGGTTCTTGCGGTAACAGCGGGTACACGTGGTGTTAGGTCAAGCCGACCAGCGCTCATGACCTAACACTGAGAGGCATTCGGCAGTACCGCAACTGAAACCCTTTACAGCAACACCTTGTAGATAACAAGGCCAAAGTGCTCGATGTTTTAAACACCATCTTCCGGAAGCAGCGCACAGTTTTGGCACGTGGAACGCCTCAGGGTTAGGCTAAGACTTGTCCCAGCCAAACATTGCAGCATTCACTCATATGTCGGACCTGTGCCCCACGCTGTCCTCTGGTGGGCGACGTAGACCAATCGCCGCCTCGTTACTTAATTTAGGAGGTATTCGCCCTTTTTTATTTGGTAGCAAACTCGGTGGCGCCAACAATTGGTAGCCCCGGCATACTTCCGGTTCACGAACGTTTCCTAATGATTAACTCATCATTATTTTATCATAAGAGTGAATTACGTCTGACAGGACTAGAAGGGGCAATTTTCAGAAGATAGCGTGTATATTTGATTTCGGAAATACTGTGAAACCCGTCGTCTAGTTCAGAACCGGAAGTGGTTGAGAACTATTTGCACACTGGCGCCACCACGTTTCAACTTACGCGAAAAAGAGTGAATACTAGTAACTGCGGCGCCATGTATACCTGTAGTTTTGGCTAAACGGTCACGGCGATCTTTCTCGTGCGCTTGCGCTGCCTGGCCCGGAGAGAAAGTTGACAATGGACGCTTGCACTCACTTTCACAAGAAAGATTTTTTCGCAGCATCGTGGAAGCCGCCTGTCCAAACTGTGCAACATGTTAAACTCCGGAAACTATTGAACACATTCCCATTGTGTGTACCATTCACGCCTTCGCGAAACAGGTATTTTATACGGCACTGTCAGACATGCACGGCGTAACTTTTCCTCTTTTTTTTCTTCTTTTTTGCTAGGCACAGGACAGGCACTGACTCTCTAAGGTGCGAGAAAGCACCACTCTGATCCCCTCACCGTCGTCCATATAGACCTTTTCCGCTTACTCTCGCCCCCGACCGCCAATAGGCATATCCGGTATGGGCGACGGAAAAATATTAAAACGTTTCAACCTGTAAATAGTAAAAAAATAGAGGAGAGAGAAAACGAGAATGGGTGATGGTTACGATATGGGCGTGGCGACAGTAAAACAATGTTTTAGCCCATACTGGAAGTGACGACAATTCAAGATGGCGGCGCCCTTGAAGAAAGGGTCTATACCCTTCCTCGTCTCACTTCATCGTGACATTTTTATTCATCTTTGTCCTCTTTCCCCGCGTGTAGAGTAGTTAGATAGAATTAGGCTCTCGGGCTAACCTCTTTGCATTTCAATTATCCTCTTAAAGACTGACGACCAGTTCCCGCTTTCCACTTCTCTCCCAGCTTCCTCCTCTCCCCCCTCTAGCCTGTCCACCGTTGCCTGTTTCCTCCTCCCCGGGGTGAGGAGGATCTTCTGCCTTGCAGAACCTCGTGTCTGGTCGTCGGCCTTTAAGCCGCATTCACACTGGTCCTACATCAAACAAAAGTCAAGGTGTTCGCCACAGACGTGACGACAGAATAGCCTCCGGACACGTCCGAAGCATATACTTGCAGCATGTTTGGATTACGCTTCGAACATAGTTGCACACAGTGTCTGCACACTGTCTTTTGCCTGATGTACTCGCAGTGCGATCGGGTCTTAACTGTCCGCACTCGCTTTTCCAGGGCTACGACTGGACGTTGGTGCCGAGCCCGGTGAAGCAGCCGGCGCCGGACAAGAGCAAGCGGCAGCACGTCAAGCGACCGATGAACGCCTTCATGGTCTGGGCCCAGGCGGCGCGCAAGAAGCTGGCCGACCAGCACCCGCACCTGCACAACGCCGAGCTTAGCAAGACTCTCGGCAAGCTGTGGAAGTGAGTGTCCGTCGTGCGGGCGCACGATGTTACACGTAGTTAACTGAACGGAGAGACAGACGCCCTTACTCCGTTTCGCTCCAGGACCGGGCGCAGTCGACGGTGTGTAGACCTTTGCAAAAATAGCCTTCTGCGCACTGCCATCTTTGTCTGCTGGGCTGTGGAACGCCTTCTGAGCATGCGCTGTGTAGCTCTGCTGTGTGGTATATGAGATGCTGCGCGTGCGTCCACAGCTCAATGACTCGGCATTTTTGCCTGGGGTGAGAAGCGATGCAAATGTCTATTCGATTCATTGGGGCATAGCCTCCTCTATACTCACAAAGCCTGGCAGTTCGAGGGCGGAGCAATAGAGTGCCCGGTCGCAGATTTGGAGCGCGAGGATCTGGTAGCACAGAGCATCCAAGAGCCATTTTCCAGGGAACCTGAAGGTCAGCACACAGCTTTTGCAGCGGCGAGGACCCGAAACGCACTTGTTCGCACGAGAGAAGCGTGTTTCGGCGTCTCGCCGCAGCGGGGCGCCACTCACGTGGCTCTCCTCTCATCCGTTGTCTGCCGCTCCAACTTTTCCATTTCGGCGGCCGCTTCTCGTGGCGGTCTGCCAGGCTTTGTCAGTACATAGGAGGCTATGATTCGAGCTACATCAAGCAGTGTCGTCGTTTTTGCGTGTTTGCAATTATCACCGGTGATACCAATCGCACAAAGCAAAAAAGCGCAGAATCACGCCGCACTCACTGTGCACGGTTGGTTTAGCCGATGATAGTGAAGTAACGGAGGGGACAAGCGCCGTGACGATGCAATTTTGACGCTGCCTGATTGGTATTATTCGATCGTAGCGTCGGGTGCGCTAGAATACAGAGCCAGGTGAAGAAAACGTCACAAAACGCTCTCACCGTAAAAAAAAAGAAACAAAAATTAGATGTATGAATGTGTTTCTGACATACCACAGCTAATATGATGGCATAACTACTTATGCACGTGCGCCTTTTATGATATATACATATTCTGGTATGTCTAATGCACGAATAATATATATATAAATATCTTTTTTTTTCTTTTTTTTTTTTTTTTTACTACGGCTGGGCACTGTGGCGCATTTTGGTGTCTTTTCCAGTGTATGTCGTCTTGGCGCTCTCAGTTCCGCGGCAACGTATGCCAACTATGCACACGATTTTCCTGCATTGTTGATTGGCTTTTAAATCAGAATTTTCTTTTTGGTCTTATGAGAGCCTATACACTTATTTTTAATTGGTTTAAACCCGTTATACCGTTTGATGGTGCAAGTAGAGAGACAAATTTTATTTTTATTCGTTTTAGCCCTCACACAGAAAATGAAAAGGAAAGGCATTTTTAGCCACATACATTTTTGATTTCCTTCAGAAGGGTTGCGTCACCCCAACTAAACTATTGCCAAAGGTGTCGACGTGCAGCTCTGGGCGAAAATATGTCGATAATTTGGTGATCTGCAGTTGTATAAAGCGATACTGTTTTAGTAAACACTTGTAAACACGACCTTATAGCGAAATTTTTTTTTTCTTGGGCACGCCCATTTTTGTTTTTCTAAAGTACTGAGAGCAGAAAAACATAGACGCAGAACGAAAAGACAAATGAATATATTTTCAAATCTTGTGTCTTGGGGTGTCCGGGAGTCGATAGTTATCATAACACCAAGGCTCTCGGATGATATGAACACAAGTGTCTTGACTTGACTTGCCAAACTGCCCTCTGAGAAGAGAGATAAAGGTAGTGGCTTTCGCAAAACTCGCTTATTACCCATGCTTCGTGTCGACAGTCTTTCTTGCCTTTTTTTTTTCGCGTACGTTGCACACCCACTAGAAAAATTAAAATATTCGCACCTTATTAATAAAAAAAATTGCCACAATATTTTTTTTTATTTTTTAGTGGTACAGGTGGCGCAATTAGCCGCCCAAATTACCTTTTTTTGAACGACGAGTGCCGCCTGGCGGGTTGTATGCGAACTACAAATGAAGGGCAGCACACCATGCCTCCTCCCGCCCAAACCTCTTGGCTTCAAGCCTCTGCATCGATTTCTATTACGCTTTATGCTGATTGGTTAAGCGTTGTGCGGGACGGTATCATCCGCAAATGGCGGCAGTCGGCAGCAAGACGAGGGTAAAGAACGTACGCACGCGCGAGGAAGCTTACTGGAAAAAAAGATCGATTGGAATGGTTCAGCTGCACCCATCCATTAACCGATCCATCGAATGGCCATACTCGAATTCGCGCGTCAACCTCGCCATATCCCACGCCTGTTTCTTCAGAACACGGCAAATAATCTCGAAAGGCTTTTCTTTTTTTTTTTTTTTTTTTTTTTTTAATGACGACGCTCGAAAGGATCGCGTTACGCTTCTGGCCAGAAGACTTGCGACGAGAAAACGCAGGCCGCTGGCGAGGTCTGCATGCACGCGCGTGCGACGCGAAGCTCTGACAACGTCGCGACGTCGAGGAGAGGGACTCGGAGGAGCGCTCCGAGGTCGCATGCCGACGGGCGTCCCAAAGCCGCGGAGCTCCAGAGAGGCTCTGGAATGCCTCGAAGGGTTCGCCCGCATTAGCTTGCAGTCGGGGTCACGACGACCGACTGGCAGACGTTGGCGTGGCGGCCGCCGTGGGGAGTTGGTCGGCTGCTGCCCTGTCGTCGATGGTGCTGTTAGAGTCAGCTTGTGGTCGGTCAGTGATCGCTCAAGATACTTTTTACTAGAACCCCCCTCCCCCCGATTCCAAAGTTTGTTTCCGCCCTTCCGTCCGTGCATTTCCCGGTAAAAAAAAATAGCGAGAAGATTGACGTCACGTGACACGATGTCAGGAGACCTACAGACCAATTCTGTTGCCACGCTTGATTTAGCGGGAAAATTGACGTCACGCGAGCTATACACTAATTCAGTTTCACCGCTAAATTTGGCGGGGAAATTGGTGTCAAGTGACCTGCCGCCTTGTGACCTATTGCATCGATTTATTTTCCCGCTCAATTTACCGAGAAAATTGACGTCACTTGAACCATGTACCGAGTCAATTTTCCCGTTAAATTCAACGCAAAAAAAAAAAAAAATAGAAACAGCAAAAAAAGGTCGCTTTTTTATTTTTTAAAGGTTTTCTAATGTGTTTTAAACAAATTTAAACGATCGCTCCTCAAATACCACATTTCACGCGTCATGGGACTTCGCAGGTGAAGGTCGCCGTCGATTTTTACGTTTGCACTTGTTTCTTCGTGATTTGGGTCTTTGGCGATTTTATCGGCTAATGCCGCATTCTCATCGACCGTGGAGCGATAAGAACATGTTCGGGGGGCTAACCCCGACCCGTGTCTCTCAAGCGACTGGTCAGTGATTCTATAGAACTCGGGACACGCAAGGTGTGGCAAGTGCGTAGAGCCTGCATCTAATGAAATTTAGATATTAGCCGATAAGAGCACGAAAGAAAGCGTTAGGAACTACAAAAAAAAAAAAAAGAAAAGAAGCTCGAACATGATGTAGGTTGATCACGCTGTGTGTTTTCCGAACAGTTTACATAGAGTCCTTTTTAGATTCGGTCCGGTCGCAGCTAGACGCTATCGATCTGATGAAGTCGATCAAGCAGGGACGAGAGTGTATATCGTCATGGCGCTCGTTAATTGTGTTCGCGCGTTTTTCATCACCGGCTAATTTAACTACGCGCATTAAATGCAACGTGATCCTGCTCATAGCCTCCTCTATACTCACAAAGCCCGGCAGTTCGACGACGGAGCCATAGGGTACCCGGTCGCAGATTTGGAACGCGAGGATCTGGTAGCACAGAGCGTCCAAGAGCCATTTCTCTGGAAACCTCGACGTCAACGCACAGCTTTTGCAGCGGCGAGGACCCGAAACACACTTGTTCCCTCGGGAGAACCGTGTTTCGGCGTCTCGCCACAACGGGGAGCCTGTCACGTGGCTCTCCTCTCACCTGTTGTCTGCTGCTCCATCTTGTCCATTTCGGCGGCCGCTTTTCGTGGCAATCTGCCAGGCTTTGTGAGTATATTAGAGGCTATGGTATAGGTGATGGCAAACGTACAAAGACGACGAAGACCACGAGGATACACTTTTGGCTCCGCTTATTTGGTTCCAATCCAATCGTAGAGTTGGCTGCAGGTCGTACTTAATGGGAATCGGGACCATAGTGACCATTGCGTTACAGGAAGCATTGGTGTATATAGTGCGACTCATGGGCCGACGCCACATAACTTTTCGGCGGCATGGACTATATTGAGCACTTCACGAACGTGTTTTATTTTTTTCGTTTAGCTTTTTATAGAGTCAATGGAGACTTTTAGTAAGCCGATAGCGTGTTCCGCGTACCGCACTACCGGAGTCCTTGATGACATGCTTTTAAGCGCTCGCGCCTGGGTGATACTATACTCCGTTTCACCTTATGTTGTACCGCGGAGAAGGCTAGAAGCGCGAGCTTATAGCGTTAGAAGCTGCTCTGAACGCACGAAAGTTTGTGCCGCCGAGATGTGCCCTAGAGCAAGGAGCTCGCGCTTGTAGCCTTATAGGACCAAGGCCCCCAGATCATGCGTGAAGCGGGCGCGCGCGAAGGCTTCGGGATCTCGGAGGCCATGCATCATGACCGGAAAGGCGCGCGCTTAAAAGCATTGCTTCAAAGGCTCCGGTATAGTGCAGTACGCAGAACGCGGTAACGGTTCGCTAGAAGTCCCCAGTGTCGGCTTAAAAAGTACAGGATGTTTCGGGGGGCGCGAGCATCTTACGAATGCTCCGCACTCAATGCGCTCGCGGTGTTTTCCAATAAGAATGCCACAGGACACATCGAGAAACAAGAAGCGTCGGGTTAATACGCCACACACTGCATTTCATAAGCTGTCACTGTATCAAGATTAAAAAAGGTTTTTGGTAACGTAATCTATTCAACTGTTCTGTAGGTGGTGCTTGTTGAATGCCCGTTAAGTGGGGATCCGTCCATAGGGGTCAAGCATCATGCAAGGTCTTGCCGTACTCGTATGTTTGATCGCAGTCA